ATTTGACCCCCGTTTCCTGGCTGTGAGTGTCGCCCAGCCCTTCCTTTCTAGCAGAGCCCTGCCCCTCAGGCCCCAGCTTCCCGCCTCTTCCCCCTGCTCTCGAGGGCCAGGCCGCAGATGCGAGACCGCTCTCTGGTACTGGTCCCCCCATGTGATGCTCTAGAGCTGCCCCCTCTGGCCTTGCAGCCCTGCCTCTCTCCCCAGGACACAACCACCCCCGAATGCGCGGCCCAGGAGTGTTCAGAGAGGGGGTGCGTGGGCCCCTGTGGGGAGGGGAGATGGGCGGGGCCCTGAGCAGCAGAGCCCAGTAACCTGGCCCCGATCCCTGTGTGGTTCCCACCCGCCAGTACATGGAAGATCGGCGCAAGCAGCACAAGTGGCACCGGTGTAAAAAAAGTGCAGTGGAGCTGAGCTGCCTGCCGGGGCTGGAGCGGGGCCCGGGGGCCAGTGGCTCTCACAACAGCAGGAAGGTGAGAGGCTTGCTGCTTAACCCCTCCCTGCGCCTGGGCTGGTGTCTGCCCAGCTTCTCGTCCCACGCTGGAGCCTCCACCCGTGGGACTGAGGGTCACGCCCTGCTGCTGGCCCCCAAGCAGTCCTGGGTATTGGACCGGGAACGGGGGAAGCCTTCCCCTGCTAATTCCTTCCCTGTCCCGTCTCTCCCTTCCAGGGCTACGTGCCTGACCCCATGATGAGCGGGGGCCTGAAACAGCCACATGGCCGCCGGGCGGGGGTGGAGTTGGCCAAGATGGTATCATTGATGGGCGGGGCTGGGCGGAGCCAGCTGGGGGCTCCTGGGCCCCTGTCTCTCCATGGCCCCTTCCAACCTGGACCAGCCCCTGGCTCCTCCCTGCCCTACATGCCCTTCCCTGCAACATCCTCCTCTGGCACTCTGCTGCACCCGGGGTTGGGCCGTGGCAGCTATGCCCCGGGGCCACCCCTGCACCTGGGCTCCCTGGGGCACCCGCAGCCTGAGGAGGACGATGAGGAGGAGGAAGATGAGGATGAGATGGATGACTTGTCTCAGGGCTACGCCAGTTCGGAACGGGATTTCTCCCTGCTTGATGACCCCATGATGCCAGCCAACTCGGACTCCAGTGACGGTGCTAACGAAGGTGGCGACTGAGCTGCAGGGACAGAAGAGGGTACTGGAACTCACTGACGATGCAGGGAGGCAGCTGGAGCCCCCTGCATCCGTCACACAATCCTCTTCCCCTGCTGGGGGTCAGGGGACAGAGTGGGGGGACTTTGCCCAGACCTGGGCTAATGAGAGTGGGGCTCAGACCCTGTCCTGGGGTGGACGAGCCCCCTGGGCTTTGACGTATGTGGGCTTGGCCAGTAAAACTGCACCCCAGCTGGAGTGACCTCGCAGCCTACAGCATTACCTGCCGGGGGCCGTCCCTGCTGCTTCCTGGGCCTTTCAGGGCTGGCAGCCCCTCTCCTCAGCCCCAGCGGTGCAGGGCCCAATGCTGTCTTGTAAGGGGGGGGCTATATTTATATAAATATGTAATATGTCTTGTGTAATATGGCGGGGGAGGGGCTGGAGTGCTGGGGCCGGGACCCTGTGGGGCTGTCATGGGCCTG